ATATTTATGTATTTATTATCTTTAACTAATTTTAATTAATTTTTTGAATTAAGTAAGGCAGTTATTTGATGCTTAGATTTTGAATCAAATGGAGCATATCAAAGACATTGTGAAATTTTATATACAGATTAAAATAAAATAACAGCACATTTAAAAAGCAAAACCTGTTAATCTTTTTGCAAGTCATAACAAGTTAACAACCCCACACAGTATTGTGTGAGATAATCCACTGAGATTCCCATCATAATTATTATGAGTTTTTTTTGGGGATCAAAATGATTGTGATGATGTTACTTGCCAAGGAATTTACCCTTTGAAATTATTGGATTGGTTTATGGGGTGAAAACAAAAAAAACAAAACACTAGCTAGCTAGCCTGACCCACTTATAATAATGACTTCGATGCTTAATTTCCTCTATTACACTATATATCCGTGATTTTAGTTGCTTTAATTATGACTTCTTTTCATCACGCTTTATGCATAGGACATTGATGCCTTAATGTAACAAAAGTTCACAAGGCAATTGCCCTAAAATCAGTGAAGTGATAAGGCAAAGTACAACTTGGGATCCAAGAGGTCTGTCTTTTTTTTTTTTTTTAAATAAAAAGCCAACATCTAAGATATTCAACCGGAAAAAAAAAACTAGCAGTTATTATTAGATTCATCATCAAATCAGAGAGATCCATTAATTATTAGATTCTAAATTTAGTTGTATGATCTTTGAATAATGATTTATCTTTTTTCACTACAATTATTTAATATCTGGCATTATTATGTTAAATTTAAATATTGTAGGTCTAAATTAGGTGTAATTATTCAAAGTAGATTAACCTTAGAAGCCAAGGAACTGAATTCCAACACGGCTGGATGGCCTAATAAATGGGTTAGGAAGGTTTCAAACAACTTTTACAACTATGTATCTTTAATTAAGTTCATTTGTATTTGCTTATTGTTTATTAAATAAATGTTTGTCAATGACAAATTGTCTTAATAAAAGCGTCACCTATTATGTTTGGATGGGGTTTCAGGCTCAAACTTGACTTTAACATATTTGCATACGTGAGTGTATTTAATTGTATGGAATAAAAAAATTAAATAAATGTCATATATATGTGTAATAAGTTATCAAATAATAATAACTCGTAAACTAGTATTTTTACCAATTTGATTCATTAGTACTACCTCCGAACCTATTTATCAAATCAATTGCTTCTTATAGATAAATAGGTCCGGAAATAATAACTTAATGACTGATCCAAATTTTAAAAATGCCGCTTAAAATTAATTAAAAAGACTGCGAGTCAAACCAATTGTGGAGTGCCTAAGGGCAACAATTAGATTTTTGTAAACTTGATCGTTTTGAAGGACTTATAACTGTCTTTAACTACCTGAAAAAGAAGTCTAAAAATCAGAGAAATATATAATTATAAATGTAATCTTTCACTTTCAATTGAATCTTTTTGTAAATTTCAGGTGAACATTATCACATCGACATTCCCAATAAATTTTTCTATTTATAGCAATAACCCTTTTAATGCTCATATAATTAGTTGGCTTTGGTGCTGGCAAGGTCGCCATTGTAATTAATATCAACATTAATATTCATGTCCCACAGTTTCAAACTAATTACTCCTCCGGTCCTTAATATAAGACCCATTTAACTAATTTGATTAGATTAAAGAAGTTAGGTAAGTTAGTTAATTATAAGAAATGTGACACGTTTTCTCTAAAATACCATAATCATCTTTTTTAATACCTCATTTTCCTCTTCTACTTGATTATGGTTGAAGGAGTATCCATAGGGGTAATTTAGAGAAAATTGATAAATATGAGAAATGGGTCTTATATTTAGGACTAAAACCAACTCACCAATTGGGTTTTATATTAAGGACCGGAGGAGTATAATAGAACTTTTAATGCTGATTGTGACTTGCAAATAATTCGTTCTAATAAATAAATTTTTTCCCCAATTACATGAGATTATATATCTGTCAAGTTTACTATTATTGAACTCATAACATCCCCAATGAATTCATCCTTATGAACTTGCTTCCCCTTTTTCTATTTGTTCTATGTGAAACTCATGCCAAGTCCAAAAATATAAAATGTATTCACAATAAATGAATAGTGGATCTCTTATAAATTTAATAGGAAAAATTAATATGAGGTTCCAAAGAAGAAATATAATCACTAAAAAATCTTATAACAAGTGAATAGCATGTAATGAGAAGTTCCAATATATAGAAAATGACGACGGGTCCATATTGCTCAGTTGTTAATGAGACTTTTTTATTATCACATTTTTTTTTCTTGAGATTTTAGTTTTTCTTTTTTTCTTCCAATTTATTACGACATGCGGATTCCTTTCCATTCGCTCCAGGAAAAAAAAAAGAAGAAGAAGGTGAAACCTGTTTTGGAGATAATTTATTGGACACAAGATGGATAATTTATTTGGAATAATTAAAAGGCAAGTGATGAGATTTGAAGATGCATAATTTAATTATTATTGATAAAATAATGTTGCATGGGACATACTGGCTCTCACATTTCTTCATCAGAAATAATTGCTCTCGAAAGGCTTGATGCAGATGTTTTCATTAAAGGAACAAAATTTTTTTCACTTTTCTATTAAAAAAACATAAAGAAAAAAGGTTTTATTGGATATCTCCAAAGGCAAGATAAAAGAAGACACAGATGTTGGGGGAAAAGGTAAAACGACAGAGAAAGCTAGAGTCCACTAGAAAGGAAATGGACAAAAATAATTGATTTTCCTTGTACAAAAAAAAAAAGATTTTCCATCATTTTGAGTTTTTCAGTTCAGAATAATGTGACTTATTTGGCTCCGTTGTATCCACAAAATAATAATGGAATTTGCCAAAATTGACTCCAATTTGTTCAAATAATGCAAGATTGAAAAACGATGATTATTTGCAATTTAATATTTTCATATTTATTTTTTTATGAAATATAGCATGCCAAATAAATACTTGGTTATCATTATACTCTCCCGATCCTTAATGTAACAGTAATTTGACTAATTTAATAGATTAAGTAAAAAGGTCAAATTAATATCTTAATTCTAATAAATGCAACGTGATCTTTAAACTATGTTATATATCAATTCATAAGTTAGATAATTTTATTTAAAAATAATAATAAATATGAGAAATAAAATAAAATAATATATTATATTTAAGATGAAAACCAACTATTTAATTAGCACATATATTTAGTAGCAGAGGAATATTACATTCCTTGTGATCCTTTGAAGCAAACGGGCAAAGCCCCAAAAAGAAGTATTGCAACGGTAATAAATGAGGAAAGCCAACATGTTTCAGTAAAGGGAAAGTGAAAGGTTGTAAAAGGAAAGGGTGGGCCTCTAAAATCTTCCCCAAAAAAAAGAAAAAGCAACCAAGGAAGAGAATATCCTTTGTATGCCCCAGATTCTGAAGGAGGAGAAGCCACATGCAAATACACTAACAGCCTGCTTGAAATAGCGGTAAAAACACTTATAAACACATTTTACGTAAATTGAAATAAAACTCATATCTCATACTTATTTTATATTCTGTAAATCACAATTAAAAAATTACTTTTAAGTTATGTCGAATGAATATAAAAGAAAGCTGAACGTAACATATCATATTATTATAATATCAAAGATTAAACGATTTAATGTCCACGTTCGCTATCCACATGTACACTTTTCCCCGCACACACTCTTATCTTAGCTATCCAAAAATCAAACTGAAACTTGACCCATAGATGAGATAAATACAATTAATCTCTGGTATTCTTTTGGGTCAATCATCGGTTTTCCATGTGGGAATGCCGTTGGATCAGCTTTTGATTAAACTCAAACCGTTGGCAGCTTTTAATTCCTTTTTGAAAAACCTAATGGGATTTGGAAAATCATTATAAAAAAAAACTAATTTTCACGTGACACCAATTAGTTTAGGGAAGAATAAATTATAGGAATCTTTCTTGGGCTTTTTTGAACTCATTCACGTTTTCAAAGCACACACTGTTCTGTTTCAAGTTATTAAGAGAGAACCCGCATTCCATGATGTTGGTCAGCTTCACCCTACGACCCAAAAGAAGCAACTTACATTGAGGAGGCCCAGGGGAAGTTAGGACCCAAACCCCGTACAATTTTACAAAATATACATAGCTTTGCTTTTGCTGGAGTATTTCATTGATAATACAATTTTTTTGGTTCATAACTAAAACACCCATTATACCTTCACAGAGAATGCGAACACATACTAGTCTGAATATGCACAAAAAATTATTTCATTACATTTACATATGTACAGATGATACTATCTGCAAAAGTTGCAGGGATTAAACTCGCTACTTCCAAATCATAAAAGCAATCTTGTGCTGGTAGAAAGGCACCATCATGGTTACAAAAAATTATAGCGTGAGTACCTCTAACCATCAATACTATGCTGAAACTTATCAAAATCATATCCAATCTTAATGACATTATACACGGAAAAAAAAAGGATATTGTTTTTAAGCCTCTGAACTGAACTAATCCTAAATGGCCATCTAAAGCTGAAAATATTCCTTACTTCAAAATAACATTTTAATCCAATAGATATACAAAGAACTTGGAGAAGAGTTAGTTTGCATGATGCAAAGCCATACAGTCATCAATTTCAGACTTGTTACTGTTAGATACAGGGCATGGGAGGAGCAATCAAAATACACGCTTCGCGGTGTTAGTCCTAGTTCAATCATCCTAAGCAACTAGCCCTAAATAAATAAATTAAAAAAAAAAACTATTTACGGAAGAGTAAACTAGAAAATTAAAAAATCACGATGGGGAAAAAGTACAACGCATCATTCACTTTGAGATGTCCAGTGCGCCACAAAACTGGGAAAACAGAAAGGACCCGAGTTTGGGAAATTACTGGCACTAATATATAAGATCGTTGTTATTATACAACAAGGTTCATTCTCAGCAAATTTTACCTCAGTATCCTTTTCTTCGACCAATTCACCCTCATGATAATATTTACTGACAGTTCACTAGCTACTCTGCATAAAATTGGAAGACATCACACATATATTTATCAATGAGAAACTATCTGGTGATGCTATAAAACAAATACAAGAATCTAGCACCCCCCAGACTGAACATAAAAACAGATTTTTACAAGGCGTCATAAAGGAAACAAGCTTTTTTTTTTTTTAATAAGGATCAAAACGATATTGAAATACTATGTAAGCATTACATATTAGACACAAGAGAAGAACAGTGACCAAGTAGATAAACAAATTCTAGAGGAAAAACTTTAAGAAAGCCTAATCTAGCGTCTACAAAAGTCGTTAACAAGTACTGGAGGAAGCAAGCATTATTTGGCAGCACAATGCATAAAAGTTCTTTGAATTTTTTTTTAAAATTATTTTATTCAAATATCTTAAAATAGGTCTTGTAGTAATTGGAACATAAAAATTCCGATGCATAAGACTCTCGAGGGTTTTCACATCAGAAAATGGTTTTTCCTAACGGATTTCAATATGCGGCCTATGATGAGAATCTCTTAAACATGCAGGAAACACCATGATAATAAACAAGTCCTGCCAGTCCTTGTAATTTAAATATTCAGAAGCATTTTGTTGCAATTTAATGTTGCAGCAAGAAAATAAAGCAAGCAGACATTGGGGTTGAAGAAAGACACACCACCCATGCAGCCATGCTTCAACCCTGGTAATCAAGAGATGTTATATATCTCATTACGCGCAACAAAAATTGAATCTCTCCCCCATAGGCGAAGGAAAGGAGCCCTAGGACAACAATAATCCAAGAATCACCTATATTTAAGAACAAATTTAATTAATACAACTCTTAGGAGTGTTCATCCAAGTTAAATCCAAGGATCCGATATTTGGAAAAGCTTCATATGAGAACCAATCAGTATATGTCTGGTTTCATGTTGGAAAACACTAAAACCATGGTTTTGGTGGTTCCCAAAGTGAAATCAAATTGCTCTTAATATTAGTGTTAGCTCCCATGAATCTCAACTTTCAAAAGAGAGATGTTCACTACAAAAGGACCAAAATTATGAATCAACCTCCTAAAAGTTTACCTTCTCTCTTTTGGTATCTGAAGGCTAAAAAGAGGTCTTATAATCATCAAGAAATGTAATGTTTCAGATGACCTACAGTCCAAAGTTTCGGAGCTCACTAATTCTACAAGGAATCACATGTTTAAAACATCATGGTAATATCTATAATAATAAATTTTACAAATTCATAATACCATATTCCTCCGATGAGGTTATTTCACCAAAAGGTTTTAAAAAAAAAAAAAAGGCCTTCTAACGAGATTCAGGCTGCATCATACTACTTTTTTTCTTTCTCACCAAATCATTTCTCCTCCATCAAACAAGTAAAATGAAATCTCATCATTTGTTACAGCATCTGAAAACAAATGCTCTTTTACCAACTGTTATTTCTAAGAGCGAAATTTCTCATCCAACAGCAGTCATCAGGATTGTTCATAAGATTGGCAGGATACTGCTGCAACTTCCCAGGATCCCATTATCAAATTGGGCAACTACTAGTGTTGCACAAGCATGGCTCAGATTTTGTAGTTAGAGGTATTGTTCTTTATGGAATGGTTTGCTTTTAATAGTCTAAAGCATCTAATATCATATTGACTGTGAAAATTGACCAATTAAGGATGAGCACTTTGAAAAAATATATTTAGTTTAGGTAAATGAAGTGGCTCAATATTTTACTATTGACTGAAGCCAACTAGCAGATGCAATTGCAAGGGGCTGGTACTCAGAGAAGATTACACATAGCATCAACCAAGACTACCCACAAAGCACTAATGTTCCCCAAAAGGGATAGCACTCGAGACAAGAGAAGCAAGACCAAAAAATTGTGACAAGAAAAATGATTTTTAACCAAAGAGAAAAATGCTTACAGCACACTCGGGCAGTGATGTTTGACTTTCTGCAGGCCATTTAACCCAATATGACAGCCTATTATTAGTTTTAGCCAAAAGAGCTAAGTGCGAAAAGCCTAGTGAAACCCTCGAAGCAACATTAATATTCCCTTGTCCCACATTCTTCTCAAAGAATCAGGTACCAGTCAGTAAGAATTTTTCCAACAATTAACATGGTTACCAGAGGCAAGACTAAGGTAGAATTAAATATGTACCACATAACATTTAATAAAGTAAAAGGCCACTCTAAAGAAAGATTAAACAATGCGGACAGCAGAGAAATGGAATAAAATCTTGCAATTATAATGAAGTACCTTAAGTTTCACAATGTCAACTGAGAGACCCCTCCAAACTTTAACAACTGACAACAACTATTTGAGGAAAAAAGTGAACTACAGTATGTATCCATTTTATCCTGCTACCTTTATTGCCCCCAACTCATCAATTTTTGAGCTCTTATGCTGCAGTAAAATTATTTTGCAGAAGAAAGGTTCATTAAATAATGGACAAGGTCAGCTACAAGAAAACGGAAAGCAGAAATATAAACGGAATAAAAAGATATAAATAAACAATGACAACCATTCGACACAAAGCTTTCATTACCTTGCTTTTTTTGTGTTTGTTTGCATCGTTAAGATCTTCATCTCCATCATGCTTCCTTTTCTGTAAGCATACAGAATAGAAAGATTTATGCAAGGAACTAAATTTCTGCAACATTTGATAATAGTAAGCGAAGCAAAGCCTTTTGTATAGCACTGGTATAGAATAGAATAAATCTCCTTAATTTGAGCCCAAATCACACTTTGAGGGTTAACATCGTCATCAGCTGAAACTTAAAATTTAGATTTAAAAAAAATAAAATAAAAGATATCTAATAAAGCTAATTGAAAGAATAAATTTGCAACATAATGGCATGGGAACTCAAGACTTAGTAATGTTTATCCACAATTTAAACAATGTACAAGCAGAACAAATCCTTCACCTTTTCATGGTGTTTCTTTGCATGATCAGCACTGGAATCATGATACACACTTTCTCTTTCTT